GTTTGCATGAATTTTAAGGCTTACAACAGTTAATTTACCGCTATTTCGTAGTAAATGTTTTATTTTAATAATTCAAAAAATTCTATAGTCAAAGAAAACGCTTTCGTGATTTATTTCAGTCTTTTAAAACTTTTTTTTTTCTAACCTTCTGCCAACATTTACAAGCATGAAAACAAAAATTGTATTAGAAAGTTTGAATTTTCGTTTTTAAATTTCTCACCTCCATATATTCCATTTTTTCTGTACAATAAATTTGAATGAAATATATTACATATTGGATGACTACAACTAACTTTGTTAAATTTACATATTCTTTAATAGTTGGAATCGACTTTATCAACAAAAAAAAATAACTGCGATTAACTTTTTCATTTTTATTCATTCATTATGGAATTATTTTTACCTAAGTTATAACAGTAATTTGCTGACGAAGTACGAAGCGTTAGAAAATAAAGAGATCAATTACAATAAGATCCAAATTCATGAGCTATCAAATGTCGGAATTCCATTTTATGTTCTAACCGATATCATTAGGGAATAATTTCACGGCAACCAATTGTTTGATTTTTATTGTTTCATTATAATTTAATATTTCATGTTTTTTCTCCGAAAATGTTTTGAAATAATTTGATGATTTATGAGATGATGAGAAATGCTTTTTAATGCTTTTCAATAAATACGAACGTTTCATTTTATTATCATTATTTTTTTTTTCAACAAAGATAGCGAACATTTGTTTTGTTTTATTTTTAATGTTTTATAATGAGAATTTTCGCTGTGAAACATTCAAGCATTGGTTTAATTAATTTTTCATCACTTCACTCATATTCTTTTACTGTTTCAGCTAAATATTTTATTTCATTATTCTATAAGAAAAAAAATGCATACATTTTTGCATCATTAAAATAAAATTATAATTAATCTCTAATTCAATCAAAATTACTTCCACATTTAAAATTAGAAGGGAAGAAAAAAAAAGAAGGAAGAAAGGTATTAAAATGAATATTCAAATTTCCTTTTCAACAGATCATAATTGTTTGACCTGAAGGTCAGATGAAAACGTTTTGGTGATGATTGCGCCATCGTTCGCATTCTCATTCTTCCTCCCATCATTTTGCTTCTTTAACCGGAAAAAAAAACACACACACAGAAGCGTGCAGTAGCCATTAGAGAGAGGCGGATCAAAATTCATTTGATTTCATTCCGTCCAGTGAAACACCACGGTTTTGCGTGATATGCATTTGGGAGAGATGGAAAGGATATAGGATTTGCAGGTGCAGTAAGGCTTACGCAACGTTGACCCCAATGATGCTACCATCGAGAATCTTCCCATTGTTTCTTTCTTTTTTTTTTTCTAAACAAAACTTAGGGCGTGGTTTACAACGAAATAAACTATTTATTGGGGGGAGAGAAATAAATGCTCATTTCAACGAAAATGGAAATGATAGAAGCGACGAATGATCAAATTGCTCATTTAAAATCACGCAATAAAAGTAAGTAAAATTATCTTTTTTTTAAAAAAAAATGTGCTAGTTTATTAAAATTTTTAAATTCTACAATTTTCTCCGCAAATTTACTCACATTTCATTAATATTAAATTAAAGAAAAAGTTAAATTTCAAAATATAAAATCAATTGTGAAATAAAATTTGATAGATAAAAAGATCAGAAGTTAAACTAACTTTAAATCACTTACCAGAAATTAAACTAAATTTAAATCAATTTAGATCATTTTTTCCATATAAATATTGAAGTATAAAATGTATCAAAAAATAAATATGAATAGCAGTTTCATATCATTTTCAATTCTTTTTTTCTTCTATTCCCATTGATCAATCAACATTGTATAATTATAGCAAAATTTATATTTGATTGCTACCATCATTAATGGTACTTATACATATTGGAGCAGTTGGTTGAATATAATAATAAATTTTACCATGCAGAATTCTGTAAATGATCACAAATGATATTGTTCGATATGTTTTTTTTTTTCGGCAACAAATACCGAAAAGCTTTTATGCATCAAAAATTTGGACAATTTTACAATGTCGATTGTAAATGTTATTGCGA